TGGGGTGAGAATTTCTGCTTGTGGTATCTTAATAATAGCTCTGCTAGACATGGGAGAAGCCCACCTCTGGGAGCACAGAGGGGAAGAAGTTAAACAGATACCCTTCACTGCCAGTCATCCGGGACAAAGGAGGAAGGGGGTCACCCCCAGCGTGGGGCTGCAGATCAGATGCAGGCGTTCTGGACAGACTGCCTTTTGTCTGCTCCCCTAGGACGGAAGAAGAAGCCTCTCGAGTTCTGCGCAGACCTTTGAAACAATTCTGGGGGAAGGACTTCAGAAGCCAAGGGCTGGGAAAACTATGCAGGAGAATATCTGATTATTTCTAAATGTTATCTTGAAAAGAAAAGAAAGAGGCTTTGTTGAGAAACTTTCCTGCTGGTATCTGCCTCCGGGAGTCCTGAACCTTCCACTCACCACTCTAGAGAAAGAAACTATTGATGACTTTAGGTCCTACCAAGGAGAAAGGAGTCCCGTGATCTTTGGCCAGCAATTCCCTTGAGACACATGAAATCAGACATGCTGATTTGTAGCCGGCTTTTGAGTGGAAGCACTGTGGGCATATTTCCATGTAAATGAGCATAGAACCGCGACCATGTGCAATGGCTATCTAGCCTTCCACTGTCAGGATGGAGCATACTGGGGGTAGCCTGCTGTCTACAGGTGGGTGTCTTACTAAAATTGCTGCAGGCACCAGCCCTATAATTAAATCTTGGTGAAATTTTCCATGGGATAGTTTCCTGGAAGTGGGATTGGTGTCCTGGGCTCCTTCTCCAAGATTGCAAAGATCCATGGGTGGGGAATAAAGAGCATTTTTTTTTTTTTTTTGACAGAGAGAGAGAGAGCGCACAAGTAGGCAGAGCGGCCTGCAGAGGCAAAGGGAGAAGCAGGCTCCCCGCTGAGTGGGGAGCCCGATGCAAGGCTCGATCCCAGGTCCCTGGGATCATGACCCGAGCCGAAGGCAGACGCTCAACCGACTGAGCCACCCAGGTGCCCAATAAAGAGCATTTTTTAGAAGCCCCAGAAAATATGTTCCCAGGACCAAATGCCACGAGTGAGGCTTATCCCATACCGGAAGCCCGAGGCTCCTGGACCTGTGGTGTTCAGCCCAGCCAACCTGACCTCATCCCAGAACCATTTCTCCTCCCTCTGACAACACCCAGGGCATCTCTCAGGCCTGGGATCCAGTGACACAAGATATGACAGGCCCCAGATCATGGGGGGGGGGGCTTTACCTGCCAGAGGGAGGTCTAGTTCTGTAGCCTTTTTCATCCATCCCCTCCCAGCCTGCCCTGCCTGCCCCAGGCCTCCAGGGAGTCAGGGAAGTTGCTGACCTGTCCCCTGGGGGAATAATTGTATTAGTGATAAGGTGGCCTCTGGCGGCTTCGTCAGCAGATTCAAGGCTTTGGGCTGGGTAATCCTTTGGCGTCTGCCCCAGCAGCTGGTGGTCACAAATCGGGAGAGAGCCCCTGCCCTCAGCCCCGCTGGGCTGTCATCCAGCACCATCCAGGCTCTGGCTGGGCCTGACTTGCCCAAGAACAGAGGGTCAGGGTGAGAGAGGAGCCGGGCTGACCCCCGTGAGAGGTCAACGTAATAAAGTCCAAACAGTGTAAGAACGGGCACGTCAAACACGGCTAGTGTCTTTTATTCTGACGGATTTATTTTTTGCCATTCTAAGTACCACATAGCCACTACAGAATATCGGGAAAATAAAGACAAGTTAAAAATGAGCTACTGTGCTCTAAGTGCCTTGTCATCCACAAGCCCAGCTGACCTGAAACTCTGAACCCAGTCCCTGGAACCTTCCAGGGCTGAGGAGGGAAAGGTGACCTGGACTGAGGTCCAACCCTGGGACAAGACCCGGCGCTGGAGTTTCTGCCTGTCCCCCAGGGCGGCCTGCTCTCCTTCTCCTCGGGAACAACGCTCGCTCGCCGTGGGCACCAGCTACCTTCTGCTGCTAAAGCCAAAGAGATGCTCAGTCTTCTTTGAAGAGCGCCATGGGGGAAAGCAGGAGTCTGGGGATCCGACACCAGTCTGGAACTCCTGACTCCGCCCCCAGGCTCCTCTCCTTCTCCGCAGCTGTGTGGCCAGAAGCGATTTGCTTAACCTCTCTGAGACTCGGTTTCCTCACCTGTGGGTTGAGGTTTGCTGTGAGGTTTGGGTATGATGTCGGGAGTATTTGCACTTGCTTTCTCCTTCTTACTACTGGTGATGCAAAGACGTCGGAGGACACTTGACCTGGATGATGGCTTCATCCTCGAATCTTCCCCTTCCCTTGCTCCCAGGACCCACGCTGTCCTGATTTTCCCAGTGGCTCTTCCTTGGCCCAGACCTCCAGGGTCCGAGGCCCTCAGCTCAGCCCTGGGCGCTTTCCTCCCTGCACGGCACACGTATGCTCAGGGCGGCCCCTCAGTCTGGAGGCTTCGGTGACCATCTCCGTGGACAAGCTGGGGACGGGCTGGTTGAGGCGTGTGGAGTCGGTCTCCACACCTGAACTCTGGGTGGGTCTGTGGGTGGAAGCTCCGGCCCAGACCCAGGCAGGGATCAAGGGGTCATGGAAGCCGGGTGTGTGTGCGAGATCCCCCAAGGAGAGCTGAAAAGGTCCTCTGGGGCCTGCTCTGGGGCACCCTGAGGTGATGACCATTCAGAGTGGCGAAGAAGATGGTAAAGACATGCTCTAGAAGTAGGAGAGACAAGCTTTGGGAAGGAGGGACCAAGTACATCAAGTTTAAGGGAGATGCCCCAGGCTGTGGAGGTTAGATGGAGCTAGAGACTGTCCAGTAGAGGGCCCTGAGGGCTGCCTGTCTGGAGGGGTGCAGGTGAGCACAGAGGCAGGGGAGGTCAGGTATGGGGCCTCCGCCTGGTGGCCTCGATCTTCTGAGGCCCCAGAAAGCGGATTACCCCACAAAGCCCCTCGAGCTGACTTCCCAAATCCCCAGTAGTGCTTCCCTGTCACAATGAGGGTTAACCCCACTTACACAAAGGCCCGCCCCTCCTCCTCTGTCCCCTTCACTCCATGATCCTTCCAGAAACTTCTCACTGTTCCCCCTCCCCCTTGGGCTCTAAGCCTAAGCCAAGCGCTGCCCCCCACCCCCAGAGGTGCAGAGGTCTGCTGAGGATGGGTGGTGTCCTCTAGACCAACCCGGCTCTGTCCTGGGCAGGGGGTGAGAGTGGGGGTGGGGGCAGAGGAGCAGGGAAAGGAAAGGCAATTTCCTGAGGCTTGCTCTGTGACTTCCTCAGAGAAATCATCATAGTAACAGCCCCCATCACGTATTATGCTCTTACTGAGTACTGGGCACTGAAGCTTTTGATACCCCTTTTCACAGACACGGAAACTGAAGCTCAGAAAGGCTAAATCACTGGCTCAGGGCTGGGCCGTGTGACTGGCCTGAGCGGGAGCAGGGATTTAAATTTGACTCTGTCTGAGCTCTCTCCACACTCCCTCTGGAGCCGGGGCTTGGTCCGGTGGAGGCCCAGACTCCTCCTTTGGCCTCCTCACCTCACAACCACAATGGGCTTGAGCTGGGAGGACGGGGTCTGGGGACAGCAGAGAGGCTGGCCTGCCTGGGACGGTGAGGCCGGGTGGGGGAAAGGAGGGGAGGCCACTTGAGAGGCTGGAGCCAGGCTCAGGGGCTGGGTCCTCACGCCCTCCCATCCTGCAGGCCCCGCTCCCCAGGAGCCTACAGCTCCTCTTGGGCTCCTCACAGACCTGAAGGAGACTCTCCACCTTGGGCCCCAGGCCTTCCTGCCTCCTGGCCAGCCTCAGACCCTACATTAGACCCATTTCCCTGTGTGATGGGCGCCACCTCTGTGCTGGATGTGTGGGGAGCCCCCTTCCAGGATTTGAGGGTCCTGGGCCCTAAGTGGTTCCTTATCAAGGGTTCAGGTGGGAACCATGAGGGTGGAAGGCTGGAGCCCCAGTGAACACTACGTACCTGGAGCCTCATATGCACACAGATGCACATACTCCTCCCAGACATAACTTGCTCCCAGACACATGCCCAGCAGCTCAAAGAGATTTAAAGTCCTGGGGGACCTGGAGTCCTCACCTCCCTTCGAGATTTGGCATTGGATGGCCAGCCCGCTGAGAGCACGGGGCAGAAGGGACCAGAGACACTGGGCAGCTCGGGGGTTGGGGGGGGCTCCGGGGGCACCTTGGTGACGCCGCAGGGGTGGCCGGTTGATCCCCTGTGGAGACAGTAAAGATTAAGAGGATCATAAGCTGCGTCCAGCACTGCCCTGGGAGAAGTCTCCTAGAGCCAGAGCCGCTGTGGCGAGGGGAAGTTGGGGCAGCTCTGAGTTCAGACAGACGGGAGGCAGGAGGACAAAGAGGAGAGACTTGGGAGGGAGCGAGGGAGACCACCAGCGCCAGGGAGGGGGAGAAGTAGAAACAGGAGACAGGCGCACCAAGAGAGGGACAGAGGTCAAAAGAGGGAGGCCAAGGGTGGGCCCACTCAGAGCGTCTCCCTCAGGAAGGCAGGTGCAGGCTGCCCTGGGACCCACTAGCACTGGGCCCACTGCCCGAGCATGAGCTCCAACATGGCTGCAGCCGGGCCGGCGACTGTGGCTGCCTCCAGGAAGGATTCCCCGGGCAGGTGGGGCCTGGGAGAGGAGCCCGCAGGTAGGGCTTTCCTGGAGGTGGGGTCTGGGCCCTCGGGGAGTGCAGTGTGGACCAGAGGGTCGCAGGGACCCTGAAAGGAGCTCCAAGGGCTGTGGGCAAGAGCGAGGGAACAGGCGGGCCAACCCAGGACCCTCGGTGGTGGGCAGAGCCAGGATGGCACAGGAAAGGAGAGAGAAGCAGCCTTCGGGTGTGGCCGCGGAGCCCCCCAGGGGTGGGGTCCCGGAGGCTTCTGTGGGAGGACAGAGCCTGAAGCCACCGGCAGAGAGGGAACGGGGGGCGGGCCGGTGGAGGCCGGCGCTAGCCCGGGGAGGGGCGCGGGGTGGGGTGTCTGCACCAGAGGGGCTGGCGCTTTAACTGTGGGCGGGGCCGGGGCTGGCGGGGCGGGCTCGCGGAGCCGGTGGGAGGGAGGGGTGCGACCCAGCCGGGCCCCTGCCCCCCTCAGGCGCGGGCCCCTCGCTGCAGTGTCGCGTGTGCGGGGACAGCAGCAGCGGGAAGCACTATGGCATCTACGCCTGCAACGGCTGCAGCGGCTTCTTCAAGAGGAGCGTGCGGCGGAGGCTCATCTACCGGTGAGGGGGGCCCGCCTAGGACGGCCCTGCCCCTCCCGCCCCTGCGGGACCCTGGGCGGGGTGTGTCGGGGGAGGACGTTCTCAGGGGCGGAGGGACTGGGCCAAGCATGTCCCAAACCCACGGCCGAGGGCCTGGGTGGTGGGGCACTGACACCCTGGGCGCCCTCGGCCTGCAGGTGCCAGGTGGGGGCGGGGATGTGCCCGGTGGACAAGGCCCACAGGAACCAGTGCCAGGCCTGCCGCCTGAAGAAGTGCCTGCAGGAGGGCATGAACCAGGACGGTGAGTCGGGGCCCATCCCAGAGACGAGTGACGGAAGAGATGGGGGCCCAGGCCCGGGGGGTGTCCTGACCCTTCCTGCCTCCGCAGCTGTGCAGAATGAGCGCCAGCCGCGGAGCTCGGCCCAGCTGCGGCTGGCTAGCGTGGAGTCAGACCCGGAGCCCCGGCTGGAGCCCCTGGGGGCCCCCCTGGCCCCGGCGGGGCCCAGCCCACGGGGCCCCACGCCTGTTTCTGCAGCCAGAGCCCTGGGGCCTGGGGCCCTCACGCCGCCGGGGCACCACCACTTCATGGCCAGCCTTATAACAGCCGAAACATGTGCTAAGCTGGAGCCAGAGGATGGTAAGTGGGAGGCCGGCTGGGGCCCTGAGCAGCCCCTGCCCCGGCCCCAGACTGGGAGCTGATGTCACCACCTCCTCCTCCAACAGCCGACGAGAATATTGATGTCACCAGCGATGATCCCGAGTTTCCCTCATCCCCATACTCCTCCTCATCGCCCTGTGGCCTGGACAGCATCCATGAGACATCAGCTCGCCTCCTCTTTATGGCCGTCAAGTGGGCCAAGAACCTGCCCGTGTTCTCCAACCTGCCCTTCCGCGATCAGGTGTGTGTGTCGGGGGATGCACTTGAGTCAGCTGCGTCGGGAGCGCATACAGCCCCTCGCAGGTGATGACTGGGGGTGCCCGAAGCTCGGCGATGGTCACGGTTGGGATGCACGTGTCTCTGAGTCAGTGTTGGTCAGGGATCCATGTCTCAGGGATGTGACCACTGGGGGCGCTCACATCTCTGGGCAGAGGTGATAGTGGGCTGTGCACCTCGGGGATGATGGTGGCTAGGGCCACTCAGGGATTTGAAGGCAGTGCCTATGGTCCCCTGGGTCTTTTCTCCTCCTGGACAAAACCTCAGGTCCTACAGTCCCTCTGTATGTGACAGGGCTGTCTGCACACCCTGAATAGTGCAAGTGGGAGACTCTGGGCTCTCTAGGAGCACAGACGCCTCTGACTTCAGGGTTCGAGTTTCCGCCTAACCTCTTCACCTGTAGGACTTCCCTCTGAGCTTCTCAAGGGCAAGCAGACCTGTCACGATAAACCCAGGAAGAGAGGCACACTGAGGGTCTGAGCACTTGGCCAATGGTTTGGATGGAGCAGCTCAGAGGTCAGGCCGAGTCTGCTGAGCACACTCAACTTGGGACGCTTGTGGGGACTGTCCCTAAGGCTGCCCAACTGCCATGGCTCTAGGCTTTCCTAAATGTTCCAGTTGAGGCTCTGGAGGGAATGCATAGAGCATCTTGGAGCCTAGGCAGCTGGGCCAGATCATACCAAATCCCAGAGCCCTGGGCCTCTGGCTCAATGTCAGGCAGAGGTCAGGAGATGGTCTGGGCATCCAGGGGCAGCCCTTCCTTTCCTAGGGCCCCGGAGAAGGTGGCAGAGGTTCAGGCTGAGCCAGAGATGTTGGATCTCCGCCATCATGCTCGCTCCTTCTTTGAGTACAGGTGATCCTGCTGGAGGAGGCATGGAGTGAACTCTTCCTCCTCGGGGCCATACAGTGGTCTCTGCCTCTGGACATCTGCCCACTGCTGGCCGCGCCCGAGGCCCCCGCTGCTGGCAGCTCCCAGGGCCGGTTGGCACTGGCCAGTGCAGAGAGCCGCATCCTGCAGGAAACAATCTCACGGTTCCGAGCCTTGGCGGTGGACCCCACAGAGTTCGCCTGCATGAAGGCCCTGGTCCTCTTCAAACCAGGTAGCTGAGTCTTTGCCCAAGCCTTACGGAAGTGTGGTAGATGGAAATTCCAGTGATTTCCTTCTGCCTCTCCCTCTGCCTCCACCACCCCACAGAGACCCGGGGGTGTGCAGGCTTCTTCCCTGGGGAGCAGGAGGAATGAGGTGCAGGGCTGGGTTCACTCCGCCTGAGGGCCCTGGCTGACTGTGGCGGGGGCAGGCCGGGCGGGCTGGGAGAAGAGCTCACTGCCGATGCTTCTCTCCAGAAACTCGGGGCCTGAAGGATCCTGAGCACGTGGAGGCCTTGCAGGACCAGTCCCAAGTGATGCTGAGCCAGCACAGCAAGGCACACCACCCCAGCCAGCCTGTGAGGTGACCTGAGCACCTGCCTCCCTGCCCATCTGTCCCTTCACCTGTTTACCCTCCCCCTCCCCCCCACCACTTTGACACCATCCCTGGTGTCACTCATTAGATGGCCCAAAGGTCTGATTCAACCAGCACGAATCCAGCATCTCCTGTGTGCCAGGTCCCAGGGGTGGGGACCAAAATGAGCAGAAGACAAAGTTGTTGCCTTCCCAGGATGCCCAGCACAGTGGCCCCACTACAGATGAGAACCACCCCCATCAGATAGTGAGGGGTTCGGATACCTCTATCTCTCGCTACGCATCCAAGTAGACAGCTAGGGCAGGAGCCAGGTTTGGAAGGTGTAACAGATCGCTGCCAGCAGAAGGTAGGAGATTAAGCTAGAACAGCGTTCTGGGGCCAGCCAGTCCAGGACCTCGAATGCCGGCCGAAGGCCATATGGGATTTGGTAGGCAGAGGGGAGCCACTGCAGGCTTTTGAGCAGGAGGGTGTTGTACACAGAGCTAGAGTGAGTCCAGAGTACATGACCGGGGAGGGAAGCATGCACTGCCATCCTCCAGGGGAGTCCCTGGTGTCCTGCTCTCTGGGAGTGGCTGTAGGGAGAGGACAGTTGCAGGGGCCTCCAGGAGTCAGAATGCGTCCGACTTGGTACATGGATGGATGTAAGGAGCAAGAGAAGAGGTGCTATTTGGGAGAAGCGGGAGTCAAGAAATGAAAGTCAGGAGGAAGAGGTAGTTTTGAGGGACCATGACCAGGTCTGTTGGAGCTCCGGGGAACATCCCATAGGGATGCACTTGGCTAAGCCACATGCATGGATGAGAGCCCTGCTGTGGCTGGGTTTGGGGGCAGTAGCTACTGAGAGGCTGTGAGCGTGGCTGGTGGTGACCCACTAAGTTTAATTTTAGATCCACTAGGGGACGAATACCTCCAGTTTGAAAAACAATTTCTCTACTTGACTTTCTAGTTACTTCTTCCTGAAACTCCCTAGCTCAGAAAAACAACAGAGGAAGGAACAAGCATAAGACGTGCAACTTCTCTGTCCCACCCACTTGGCACTTGCAAGAGAAAGAAAGCCCTTGGGTTGAAACAAATAAGTCCCGCAGATAACTGGGAGATGAGGGAAGGCCTCCCACAGACCTCCACGGTGGGAGTTGAGCGTGGAGCTGCCCCACTTTGAAGTGGCCTCCTTGATGTTGGGCAGTGACCTCTGTTGATCCCTCCCATCTGTCTTTTGGACCTTCACCATCTACCTTCTCTGCACTGGGGATCCTTGCCTTGGCAGATGGTTTGTTTGATTGATTGATGGATTGATTGATCGATTTGTTCATTCATTCATTCATTCATTCAGTAGGCTGCACACCCAGCGTGGAGTGCAAGGTGGGGCTTGAACTCACGACCTTGAGATTAAGACCTGAGCTGAGATCAAGAGTCGGATGCTTAACTGACTGAGCCCTTTTTAAAAAAAATTTTTTTTAATCGTTCTTATTTAAAACTGCAGTTTCTTTTCTTAGGATGAGTATCTCTTTTGCACACAAAAATTATGCTTCAACTTCAGAACACTTTCACTAATGGCTATTCTATCATCCTACTGGACTTACAGAGGGGCATTTATATTCTTATTCAAATATGCATAGTATTAATCATCTCATAATTATCATAATAATCATATATATGATTAACACATTCTATATAGCATTAATATAAATAACTTCTCACTTTACAATCTTTGCACATAATAAACAATATTTATTCACTATTTTTATCCCAGTGCCCCCATGACTCATGCTCAGAAGCTGGTAATGAAACTAATGGTGTCCTCTCTCCCGTTCAGGTTTGGGAAATTGCTCCTGCTTCTCCCATCTTTGAGGTTTATCACTTCCGAACGAGTTGAGCTCCTCTTCTTCCGCAAGACCATAGGGAATACTCCAATGGAGAAGCTCCTTTGTGATATGTTCAAAAACTGAGGGAGGAGGAAGTAAATGGGTCCAACTACTTTAGGAAACAGCCTACTGAAGGCACTCACTTGCCTGCCCTGTGACCCAGCAATCCCACCTGTAGGTATGTGTCCCAAGCAGAAATATCCACCAAAAGATATTATGAAAATATTCACAGCAGCTTTATTCATAATAGCCCCTGACAGTACATCGGCAGTAGGATGAATTAATAAATTATGGTATATTCATTTAATGGAAAACGGCAATCAAGAAGAATCAACTACCAACACATGTGACAACATGGATGAATTTCGCAGACATAAAAGTAGAAGGAAAGAACTTTGCCAGGCACAGCTTCTGCTTATACAAAGTTCATGAACAGGCAAGACTAACTGGTGGTGGCGGAAGCTGGAATAGTGTTTACCCCTGGAGTAGGGAGGTGGGGTGGTTGGAAAGGGGCCCAGAGGAGCCCTCTGGTGACTAGAAATGTTCTTGATGTTGACCTAGGTGGTGGTTTCACAAATTCTCTCATTCATAAAAATTGATTGAGCCGCACACTTGAGATTTGTGCATTTTACTGTATTATGTTAAATCTCAATAAAAAAGTGGACAAAAAATAAAACCAAGAAAACAAATGTGTTAAAGGCTCTCCATTGGAGGACACTGAAGAAATGAGCACAGACTCTTGTGTTCCATCTGGTTTCCATGCCACGGCAGAGTCCAGGGGCAACACATTCAAGCCCAGCTTCAAAATCTCCCACAGGAGTCAAAACCCAGCCTCTCTCCAGGTGGGGTCCCACCACCCCACAGGCGCTGTCGGTGTTTCTCTTCCTGCCCTTCCTCACCCCTCCATAAACAAAGGTGAGCACATCCCACTCGACGCCAGGCACTTTTTTAGAAGGAGAGTCTCTTTCACTTCTTAATTCCTTATGGAGAGATGCTCCGAAAAACCTCCTCCTTTGCAAAGACAGACCCAAAAGACCTAGGAAATGATAGTAATGCAAAAAGTGAACTTGTGTGGGCCACTTGATGATACACCAGGCGGTGAACTGAGTGCTGAATGGGCACTGATATTCAATCCTCAGATTAGCTCTGGGACAGGGACCAGTCATCCCCAGTGATAAATGAAAAAACTGAGGCTTGGAGAGAACTTAAACCCTGGTGCAACTCTACTTAACTCCACTTAACTCTGGCATTAAATAGGATCCTGAGCTCCCCCAGAGCTCCCCACCCCTAGAATGCCTGAACGATTCTGTTGCATTTCCTGTCCTCCAAGAAGAAATGCCTGAAGTCAAGAGGAGAAGGTCATGTGAGAAATCTGTAAAATCCTAGGGGATTCTTGCTCTTTGGCCTGTGCATGAATTCTCCCAGCTCACAGAGATATCCTGCCTTGATGGAAGGAGGTGGTTCAGGACACTCTGCTCTGGAAATGATAATAGCTAGGCTGGTGCCCAAAGAGGAAAGAGTATGGCAAGTATTGCCCAGCTTGAGCCCTTTCCACTTGAGCACAAACTATTCTTGATCTTTATATATGGATATATAGATATAGAGTGGGGATGAGGGGTAGAGGAAGAGGGAGAGATTCCTAAGCAGGCTCCACGCCCAGTGCAGAGTCTGATGCATGGCTCAATCCCACAACCCTGAGACCATGACTGGAGCCAAAATCAAGAGTCGGATCCCCAACTGACTGTGCCACCCAGATGCCCCATATTCTTGATCTTCTAAAAACACCAGACTTGCCTGTTATTCAAGCCATCTAATGTCTATAATGCCATTATACTATCCAGTTCCCTATCAAAAGTTTCATCCGTAAGGTTTAAAGGCCTGCATATAAAAAGTCTGCACAAAGGCAGTGTAGCAAGAAAGAAGGATGAAACAGGACCAGATAGGCCCTGGACATCTACCCTACAGTCATGCATCTCAGAACATAGCTGTGCAGAGGTGGCCTGTTGGAAGTTCATGGGCTGGTGTCTGGGATGTGTGAGCACAGCAATTCTACACTGGGAGAGATTGGGATCTCCAGGAGGAAGTCTTGGAGAAATAGAGGAGATATATAAACTGGATTAGCTGCTGTCAACCTGGCATCAATACTACCCCCTTCTAAGGTCTTGTCCTCACTGCAGAGATGCCAGGAACTACATTTCCCAGGATCCTCTTCCCCCTATGGCTAGCTAATGGAAGGCAGGTAAATGATGAAGTCATTCCTCTGGAGGCAGTTGCAGCCTGCTGTGTGGGAAGGTGATTTCAGGCTGCCTTCTTTCGAATTGCAGTAGCTTCCAGGCAAGCTCTTAACTTTGGATCTTTTGGCTGAGATCTGTGTTGGCTTTCTCGACCTTTTCTGTGGGAGCTTCTCTGACTTTTGTTTCTTCAGTTCTTCCAGTGTGTATTATTAAACCCCTAATTCCTGTATTATGTCCCTCTCACCTGAAATACACGGAGTGGCTCTTGTTTTCCTTATACAATACAGAGCTCAGTTGATCTCAGGATTTATTCAACATTTTGCTGTAAATTGGCCCCACTGAAATTCGAATGGATAACAGCTTTCATTGCATTTAGGGCCGTTGCTAGGAGAGGGGATACTGTGAAAGCTTTTTTGCCCTCAACGCCAGAAATGTCTTTGGTTATGAAGCACACAGAGACAGTCTCTGTGGACCTATCTGGGCCTTTCTTTTCAACTGCAGTTTTCAGATTTGTGAGACGGTTTTCCTCTTCCACCCTAAGGGACTATCTGATGGTAGGAAAGGCAGAGAAAGACCCAAAGACGCCAAGAAGCATTGGGAAGGTTTGTTGTAGATTTGGTTACCACAGGGGTACATTTTCAAAATGGCGTTTCTAGGTTTTACTTGGCCAATTAAAGAAACTTTAAGAAACCATTCACTATCCTTTTCATTTTGATGTAAATTTGATGCAAAAATGTAAACAATGCAAAAAGAAATGGGAAAATGATCTCAGGATTTTAAAAACTGAATAAATTTCCATTTCACCTTAGACCTAGTTTGGCATTTGGGAACCCCTGATCTCACTCAACCTGCTCGTCCAATATTTAAGCAAGGGCACCTTTTATTAGGTGCTGGGGATCTAAGAGTCAGGAAGATAAGCACATTTCTTGCCTTGGGAAGCTTACATCAAACAGTTATTTGACAGAGAGAGAGAGAGAGAACAAGCAGGGGGAGCGGCAGGCAGAGGGAGAGGAAGGAGGCAGCTCCTGAAAGCCGGCCATGGGGCTCCATCACAAGACCCTGGGATCGTGACCTGAGCCAGAGGCAAATGCTCAACCAAGTCACCCAGGCCCCCCTCAAAACAGTTTTTTGATGCCACAAATACTGGGCACTGTTGAGAACACGAGACATCTAATCCAGTTCAAGGGAGAAGAGGAAATTTCCAGTAAAACTGCCTTTTACGCTGAGACCTGAGAGTCCGTAGGAGTTACAGAGAAGTAAACCTGAGGAAGAGAACTCATCTCCAGATGGGAAAACTGACACCCAGAAAGGGCTCATGACTTTCCCAAAGTCACACAGCATAGTGGCAGAACAAAAATGACAACCTAGGCATGAATTCCTGGGCCTCTACTAGCAGATGTTGCTTGCTACTTCTTCATAGTCTTTTTGGTGAGGATCCTAACTGTAGACCTACCGTCTTCACTGTCCACCTAGCTCTAGGCTGATTAAAGGAAGTCTTAACAGCTAGCCGCTAGCATCTCTTACAGAAAAAGATTATCTCGAATCTCACCTTCACTTGAATTCAGCGGAGTTCCAATAATTACTGCTTCTGCACTTTGTTACTTTGGGGCTCAGTCCTTTCCTTAAACAAAAATCAGCTTAACAAACAAAAATCATTGCTGTTTCTTGGAGTGGGACTGGAGTGAGTTGGGGTGGGAGCCAGGATGGTCAGAAAACAAACCACACATATTGCTGCTTCTGGAAGCTTTGTTCTTTAATGAGCCATGGAGTGATTTGTTCATCAAGCTGCTTTTGTGTAGCTATACAGTGCATATTCTGAGTGACACAAACTGCACTTTATACAGATGATGTCTTGCTCCTCCTGATCCAAAAAAAAAAACAAAAAAAAACCCCAAAGGAAATTACAAAGTGCCTGTTGATTGCATCAGGAATGTAATCAGTTCCGTGGGTGAGATAAATCATTCTTTTTATAGAATTATTCTGTTAAACAGTAAAATGATATATTTCACAGGATACGTCCTTTTACAATACATAGTCTTTTAAAAATTTACACTCAGCATACTTATAAATTACTTTAAATCCATTAAAATAATATAATACTAATCTGTAATCCACACCTTTCCCCTAGTAAATACAGTTACTTGGTTCAAAAGGTGCAACTTTTATGTGACCTAAGAGGACTGATAAATAGGTATTAATTATAAATGAATAGCAAGGTGATAGGCCCGTTCGTGTGGCTTTTTTGAAGAACAGTTTTAACCAAGAGACCAACAAGACCCAATAGATCCATCTCCACGATCATCATTTTGCTGTTACCTTTTAACACCAAATCAAATGTGGGAGTGGTTCCAGAGAAAAGTGGTTAAAAGTATGTGAGGGGCACAGAAAGACTGAGGACTCCCTCAGATACCAAGGACTTTCACTACCAAGGCTAGCATGGTGCTACTGTGGGACAGTGCTGGGGAACTGTCACAAAATTATGGATAGGCATGACGCATTTGTCAACACAGAATGATGCATGCCCCATGCCTAGCTCCCCCACTAAGGGAGAAAAAAGAGGAGAGGAGGATGAGGAAAGCCATCTGGACTATATGTCTTTTTAAAATTAAAACTCTCTTAGCTTTGAACACATCCTGAGAATTTCTTCTCTAGTTTACCAAAGTGCTTGTGAAAGGTACACATTCGTTAGTTATAGTTAAAAAAAAACAACAAAAAACAAAAGAAAAGGAAAACCATGGCCCACAGTCACTGAAGTGGACCTGCAGAACCTTGCTGGACCTCCTCTTTTCAGCATGCTTCTAGGACCCCCCCTCTTCTCTTTGACAGTGAAAAGAAGCCTACTGTCAAGGAACACAGAAGTCTCCACCAACCTCCCAGCAGCAGGGTAAGAGCTGCAGCTGGTTTCCAAAGCATGAGAAGGTAGGGGCTCTGGTATCCCACCCCTGACTTCGGGTCCCTCTGTCTCTTCAAGGCCCATACTGGAAACTCTGTATCTCCCTTTGTATTTCCAGAAGCCTAGAGTGGCAAAGGAATTAAAATGGCAGGAAGTGCATTACAAACTAAGTATGTCACCTCCCTGATTCTTGCTGTTAAACAGATTTGCTTCACTTAATGATACACACTGTAACCTTAAAATTGTACTACTCTGCTTCTATTACATTTTCCATGATAAGGGATAGTTGGCTTTAATGTGGAGAAGTGAAAATCCAGGCTTTGTTTGGGGCTGGGAATGTGTGATATGAACAGAATTCCTCTGTATTTTGGAGTATGGGCTCCAAATGTGGGGCTGCCCATCGCTGCCACACAGGGTTTTTGTCTGTGGCATCTGAGGTCAAAGAAAAGCAAAGGAGAAGCAATGGGCGGTACAACTGCGACATAGATGAAGGTTAAACATTTTCGTCCTAAGTGATTATAATACAGCATCACTTCGTGGTAACATCGCTTTAACCACGGAGAGGATCAGTTAAGACCGGATGGAAGAAGATACAGCACTCGGTTCTGACAGTTTTTAAGAGTTATGGCTTCATCTCTTTATCAGGCCAACAGTACTTGTCATCCTATGAGAAGAAAAGCTTTCTTTCCTTCAGAGGGAGGGTCCCACACTTGTTCTCCATTCTTACGATTGTGTGGATCTCTCCCCACCCGCCACCCTCCGTTCTGGCAGTTGGTTAAATGACTAGAAATCCACAAATCTAGCAACCAAAAAACAAGTATTTTTTATTTAATTTTATCCAAATTCAGGTTTCAGGTCCCTGAGAAATATAAAGTCTCTTAACATCCATTGCCTAGTTCCTATAAAGTGACCTATATGAGTTTTTTTTTTTTTTCAACTGCCAAAAACTTATTTTGCAAACAAACAAACAAAGAAAATCTGAAAAAATTTAGAAGAGAGGACATATGCCAAGATGTGTTCTCCAGGCTGTTCCTCGGGGCCACAGGAAATTATCCAACAAGGGTCCTCTCTTTTTCATACGGTATTTAACCAATGTTCTGGAGCAAGCAGAGAGTAGTAGTCGATGCCCAGCAGGACACTACTCCCCCAGGAATACTGACACGGCCTGCGCAGCCCCGCTTGGGGCCCCGGGGCCCCAGAAGTCCCACTTGGACCCGACCATGCTGAGGGGTTGGGTTTTCCTCTAGGACATTCTCCAAAGTTCCAATTTTTAAAAGGCTTTCCATTTATTACTCCTCAGCATGAACAAGGTGGCAGATGTTTGCAGGATATGAAATCTAACACTTACTCAACCATCATCATTCTGGAGATTTAAGATTCCCTTCCCTAGCTCATTTCTGAAACCAAACCAGGGAGAGGTAAAACTCCTGCTACGTTTAGCTGCCACTCAGAATGATGTTCTAAGCCTGACCTCTGGGGCTTGACAATAACCACCGAGGCAGTGACATGAGGTTCAGTGTTGTGTAACAGGAGAGAATCTGCCTTAACAAAAGTCTTAATATTTCTACAACTTCAAATGAAGAAGTATGAAAAGAAAGAATAACCAAAATTCGGGTTACAGATGGTAAAGGCTCTTTTTCAGAACAGTGCACGTGGTAGTTAGACAAGATGCATTTAGTGACTTTAAAAATAAACATTTTCACATACTTATCTCAAGAAAGAGTATCATGTTTCATTTTCCATATATTATAAATAGCAAAAACAGATTCTAATCCCACAAATGCTAAGAAGCTTAAAATGCTATTATAGCTCAGGTGTATGGAGACACCCAGTGGTGAAAAAGATGGTCTGATTTTTCCCTCAACCCAGGGACAGTGGCTCTCACCCCTATCCAATGGCCCCTAATCTGTGGGAAGAAATTCCACGAGGAGGAGGGAAGCATAAGGTTAAAAAGAAATATGCATACTATACATATATATTTACAGTAAACTTCAGTAACCAGAATATTAACAAAAATAGCTTCAAGTAGTCCTTGATTTATTTTTTCATCTATTTAATACTGATGGTCTGAGGAAAAGAAGATAATAGTTAGATGGTTATATTAAAAACCTTTTTATTTTTTTGGCAGCTTTCTGTTAACACTTATTCATGCAGTGTTGTGTATGAATGTTTTGGGAGAAGTGATTAGATGGTCACATTACTTGTCTGAGTTTGTGGTGGAAGATGAACAGGTTCATATGCGATCTTCAGTTTAATCTATACAAAGAGGAAAGCCTGGGTGGATTAGGATGAGACCCTCATGTTTAGGGATCACCATGTCTCTGAGACTTAAAAAGAAAATTAGAGGAACCTAATCCTAGGACCAGGAAGTATGAGAACAGCAGGGCAACTGAAACTTCAGCCCATGCAATATATTTGGCAGGAACTAACCAGGAATGAAACCAGCATTATTATGACACTGAACATCATCAAAAAACAAAACACGTACTCTCTTCTTCATCATGTAACCAGATGTCTGAGACATGCTCTGATGGCTTCATGGAAACAATTACTTTTTTACTTTCCCCCAGGATATAACATGGAGTATTTCTCAAAGATCTTAAAATAGAGGGCTTAGGCTTTTTGTTTACAAATCCTTGGAAAAAAATTATATTCTACCCCAGCTCCTAACTATCCCAAAATAAACCCAAAGGCTTTTGCTTTCACGGTTAAGAAAGATTTATATGTTTTCTTCAAATGTCAAAAATCAGTGGTTCCCTCAGGCCTACCATGTCCCCCCGCCAGTTCAACACCCACCTCTGGGAAGGAAAAGAGGGTGGAGGAGAGGCAAGTAGGAAGACCGCCAACCTGACCCAAATGCGCCGGCCCTAGGCGGCTCCACGTAGTGAACTGTCCAGGCAAACACAGCAGCCAAGGCACAGCCGGCACCATCCCCAGCAGGCTTCAGAGAAGCCTTTCTGCTTCTGCCGGAGGCCCAGGACATTAGCACCCAAGTCCTCGGGTGTATGCGTGGGCAAGAGGCAGGACCACAGTTAGGATGGACTACTGTGGACGAGGGGATGAGAAGAGGCCCTGAAGATGAGATGTGTTTACCACTCTGTAGCCATGAAGGGTACCCAGCTGCCAGTTCAGACCATAAACTCATTGTTTCCAAAGAGAGCTAGCTGTTGGGTGGAGCTGGAGTCTGGGTCTGCAGTTTTCCTGCGGCCAGACACAACTGTCCCCTCTGGGGTCTCTTTGGTTTTCTGAGGTGAGTTTTTCACATTCTTTAATTTTTGTTTGCCCTTTTCAGGGTTGAAGGTTCCTCTGCTGATGAACTGAGGCCTGTCTTCCAGGGATTTGGTCTGGCCCAATGGCCCTTCCATTCCCACGGCCTCCCCAGCTGAGGCAGCTCGGTAGAATGGAGATTTAGAATAAATCTGAAATCGTTTTCTGGTCCCATGAGAAGATGCAGTGTTAGACGAACATAAAGGAGAGGCTGAAGAGTCCACCGAATCCAAAGAGTCTTGCTGCTTTTTTAGCTGCTTTCGTAGCTTGCTTGAAGGTTCAGGTTTGCCAGCCGCCTTCAGGGAGCTCGGGGCTAAGCTTCTCTCTAAAGCAAAAGGAGAGATCAAAGCTCTAAGTGACAATTTCCTCTAAAGCAAATCATCCCAAAAGAATAGGTTTCACCATTCCCGTGTGATGGGTGGGCTGAGGTCTGAAGGGTCCAGGCTGACCTACTTTGTCCACAGTCATAACCTGAGAAGTTATCCATTTCTACACATATCATTTAAGAATCAACCCCAAGAAGTCTGGAGTTCGACTACCCATTAGGAGAGGTCTACAACTGTCACTATCATTTAAAATACTGCCAGGATATGTAGTAATTCTAAGTCTCCCTGAGACATGCCAGGTAGTTAAATATCTCCTTTGGTATGAGCCCATCTCTCAGCAGGGCACAACTCCTACTAACCACCCTTAGAACATGGATCATGGGTCAGTAAGACAACATGTGTTGTGATTATTGGGTTTTCTCTGTGGTAAACAGAGGAGAAAACATTAAAATTGACAAAAAAAACTCCATTACATTAAATGTTTGGTTTGATGAACAATACATAATGGAAGCTTCACAAAGATCAGTATATTTGAACTCCTTAGGACGTTGTCACCTTCTCACATAAGTTCAGGCATTCTTGAAAGGGATTTTGTCTTAGCTTGGGAATCCTTAATCGTCCCTTGCAAAACCTGGAGTCTTTGATCTAATATGTTCATTTACCTGATTTCTCAGAGATGGCACCTTCAGACTCAATATTCAAATTTTCTGAGCTATCAGCAGTCCCAATGGAGGCCTCAGACTCAAGCGTTTCATCATCAGAAGCACGGGGTTCCAGTACAAGCATCTCAAATGTTAGCTCCTCCCTGTAAGATATAATCAAGAAATCCACTAGCGTTTGATAAGAAGAGGAAGGAAGACAACAGGAAAAAAAGACCTATGATGAAAGAAATTTAAGTAGCAAAACAGTCACATTTCCTACTGTTCCCATCCAAGGTGGTCATGAAGACTGGTAAGCCACAGTAATGATGGCGGCTACAAACACAAAGCCTGGGACCTCTAATAGAGCAAAGAGCGAGGTGGGAAAAGATGCTGCAGCTGTAAGGTATTTTGGTAAAATGAACTCTGGGCTGATAACCAGGGGATCAGGGTTCTAAACTCACTCTAAACTCATACATAATGCATTGGGAAAGTACTTTCCTCTCCCTGGACCTCAGCTTCCTCATCCACAAAACAAAGAGATGACATGAGATAATCTCTAAGATTCCTTCCAGCTCTTTAACTATCTTCCATGAACTGGCATTAACTGGCTACAGATGATATCCTTTACCTTAACCACAGAGAGACCTCTGATGAAGTAAAACGTCACTGATCTTTTTGTCCTCTGCCTCTTATGCCACCTCCACTCACAACATTCTCTACTCCTCTTCATCAGGCACCCACCTACCTCTCAGTTGTGCCTCCTTGTTCCCTCAAGTTTTGGTACTTGGTTCCTAATCTTGCTTTCTCGCTACTACCTGATGTCACCCTGATCTGTCAATAAACATCTTTGTAAAAGCTCACTTCAGTATTCTCACACCGAAGTGTCCTTGTATCTGCTACTTCTAACAACCTTTCCTTCATGTTATATGGGCAACTTTCTCCAATGCGCAGATCTTAGAGTTTGTCACTACCTGGAAATATACCAGCTCTGAGTCCCAAACTGTCCACAACCTCCTTACCAAATCTCTTTCAGAGCCTTCTCAGCTTTGCTTCCACTCTGCCTAGCTCAAACTATTCACCCTTCTATACCTCCAATACCATTTTCATCAAAGCTGAGTGAGGTCCTCTTTTCAAATCAGATAGCTAGCCCCTGGTCAATGTGCACCACTTCTGCCTTATCATGTTCTGCACAGCTGAGCCTCAGCTGCTTTTTTAGCTTACCAAAATTCTAGAATCAACCCTGACAGGCAAAAAGTTACTTTAACAGACTCATATGTCCCCTAATGCATCAAGCTCTCAGACCCGGGATCCTGGAACTCAGAAACAAAAATCCCCTTAAAACTTTAAAGAGTCTTTATTGTCAATAAGAACCGGTACACAGTACCCTCAGAAAGAACCACAGCATGTCCGTATTATCCCCAAGATATAGTGTTATTGTTACCTACCCTTGCTCCAGTGATGGTAGAGGGCACAGAGCTGACTGTCTTCTCTCCTAAATTGCAACCAATTTTTCTACCTAGTATCCCAGCATCCACTAGAGTTCCTGCCTTACCCTGACCATCCAGTTGGTGGCCCCATGGCTATATTGATCTTCACATAATAGCCTTCTTTAGGGAGTTCTTTTTTTTTTTTTTTAAGATTTTATTTGTTTATTTGTCAGAGAGAGGGCAAGCACAAGCAGGGAGGGCAGCAGGCAGAGGGAGAAGCAGGCTCCCTGCCCAGCAAGCAGCCCGATGCAGGACTCGATCCCAGGACCCTGGGATCATGACCTGAGCTGAAAGGCAGATGCTTAACCGACTGAGTTACCCAGGTGTCCCACTTCAGGGAGTTCTGAATAATACCCATTCTTCAAAGGGACTCTGTCTTAGCCTAGGAATCCTTACTCCTCATTTTAAAGACCAATCTGTTCATTGAAACTGATCTCAGACCTGTTAGGAATCCTGGCTAAGACTGACACACCTTATCCCAGCCAGCCTTCTCCAGCACTGTCACTGAAGAAGCTTCAGGTCTCCCTCCTCATGGAGCTTCCTTCGCTAAGGTGACAACTCTTCACGCTCTTACCCGAGTCCAGGCAACATGTCTTTGTCATCTTTGCATCCCCTGTATTACCTGATACAGTGCTTGACACATAGGGGATATTTAATAAATAAGGAAAAATCAAGAGAGCAGAGAATGAAGAAAATGAAAGCAGGTAATAACTAGTCGCTCCCTTTCCTCCTAGAAACTCACTTCTCTTTCTGTAGGTTCTCAATCTGCTCAGTCAGTACTCTCTCTTCTTGCTGCATAGCTGCTTGTTGTTGTTCCGTGATGTCAGTCTCCACAGCTGCTTCACTAGTCAAAGTCTCTTCTGGGACATCAGACATGGAGGGCAACCGAACTACAACAGGAGAGGATGGACTTGGATAGTTTCCTCGACGAAGTCGCCCCTTTCCCTGAAAAGAAAAATACGTGTCAGCAAGTAAAGTGAGTGACTGCATTAGTTGTACGTGGCCCATTTAGGATAGCAAGTGTACTTCCATCACACCAGGTGAATGGTAGGAATAAACGGAAACTTTCAGCAAGGCCTCAGATATTTAAAAGATACTGTCCATCAAACACATTCAGATTAACTATTTCTTGCAAGAGCACTAGAAAATGGACACTTTGGTGGGTGGGACTATAGGAACACATTATGCACTGAGAGGAGATTCTTCATTTAATCTAAGCTTTGTCCACTCCAAATTAAGTATCCACACATGGCTATTTAAATTTAAATTAGTTAAAATTAAATAAAAGTAAAATTTTAGTTCTGTATTCATATAAGTCACATTTCAAGTGCTCAATAGCCACAGGTGGCTAGTGGCTACCATACTGAACAGTGCAAGATATAGAACATTTCCATCATCCTACAAAGTTCTGACGGACAACACTGCTCTGTAACTTTAACCTTGGAATGCACAGTCTCTCTAGGAAGACTACAGAAACAGGTCCTGAAAAGTCAGTTTCATTAAAAAAAAAAAAAAAAGTCATTTATGTATCACAGGATGCTAGTGAGAGAGATTCTGAGATCACCTTAAGGAATTTCCTTCTTGAGATCAGAGGGGAAAAAAATGTCATTGCTTTTAATTTGGTTACCTTGTATGTGACTTTAGCTTCTGATAATACCAGACTAGGTATTTCAGATTATACCTCCTGCTGAGAGCAACTGGACCAAACATAAAATATTCCTGAAGGCACGAGAGAGCTAGTTAACAAAGCAAACCAGAGAGAGGCTAGTTGAGCATTCAGGGCTAACCTAAATTTAAGAAGAGGTGGCTGGGAATCTGAGGAGAGCTTCTGACAGACTACAGCAGGGGTTAGCAAACTATGGCCCTGGGCCAAATCTGGCCTTACGCCTGATTTTGTAAATAAATCTTTACTGAAATACATTCATGCTCATTAATTCACACATTGTCTAGGCTCTTCCAAAGAACAATGGCAGCACTGATTGTTGCATCAAGGACTGTATGGTCCACAAAGCCTAAAATATTTGCTCTCTGGTCCTTTATAGAAAAAGTTTGCCAATCCCTGGGGTAGAAATAAAACACACAAGGGTATGGACTGCTGGTAAGATCTTCATGCCTGACACAGGGATCCCCAAGGTTTGCATCCTAAAAATAAGAGTAAACTGAAACAAAAGTCCTTGTGGACACTGTAGCCTAGCTTCGAGTCATTTGAATGGTCCAGAAAACTGTAATTCCTAAAACTGGATTAAAGTAACTCCAGATTGCTAGTGCCCTAGAACCTGACAGAAAAAAATGAAAACATGCCTTGGAGGAAAATCATATCCTCTCAGGCCTCAAAATATTTTTACAAATAGTTTTTCAAATACTATGTATGACACATAATCAAAGGTAACCAAGCACAAAAGGAGACAAGACAATGTAAACTGGTGAACACAACAAAACCCAGAAACCCTCAATGACTCCAGATATTGTGGCTATCAGACAGACTTAAAATACTCATGCTGAAGGAGATAGAAAGATCTGAAATAGCAGACTGGAAGTTAAGTCAGAAGAAAATACAAAGAATCAAGCAGAGAAAACAAAATTTTTCCTGAAAAAATTCAGAAAAGAAGGTAAAAAGTTAGAACACAATAAAAAGATCTACCATATGTAAAAAGAATATCAGAAGAGGCGAGAGATCCTGTAGAATACTGAGGAGGTAATGACAGAGCATTTTTCAAAACCAATTAAATATATCAACCTACTGACTGAAGAAAGCCTTCAAATGTTAAAGAAGATAAATAAAAAGAAGTCCATACATAGACACAATTGCTAAAAATTAAAGACAAGAGATAATTTTAAGATTTATTTATGACAGAAAGCGTGAGAGCGTGAGCAGGGTGGGGAGGAACAGAGGGAGAGGGACAAGCAGACTCCGTGATGAGCACGGAGCCTGATATAGGGCTCGATCTCACAACCCTGAGATCATGACCTGAGCCGAAATCAAGAGTCAGAAAAAAAGTATACCTGCAACAAGGACACAAAGTTAATATTCAGAAATCAGTTAAATTTCTATATACTAATAATGAAGTAGCAGAAAGAGAAATTAAGAAAACAATTCCATTTTCTTTTTTTTTTTTTTTAATTTTATTTATTTATTTGAGAGAGAGAATGAGAGACAGAGAGCATGAGAAGGAGGAGGGTCAGAGGGA